AACTTTGGGATTTTCATGTAAAAGAAGAAATAGACAAGAAAAGTTCAAAACAAAAAAGAGGAAGAAGACAACTTGGTCAAGTCCCTTCCTTCTCTCTCTTGTCTCTCTCAAAATCACTCGTTCTTCATTGTATATCGAGGCTTGAGAATTCAACTTGAGACACACTTGAACGTTGAATATCAGTTGATAAGAAGCTTTACTTTGTTCTTGTATTTTCTTAAGTTCAATTGTAATTCAATTCCTAGCATTTACATTTCTGTTCCACTGTGGCGACATTGTGGCCACAATGCCGAACTTCATTTTAATGTCATTTAACTTTAACTATTTCTTCTCTTCTATTATGTATTTTCTTTTAAACTTGAGCTAAATCCCCATTTCAGTGTAGGGTAAGTTGAACCCAATAGGTAAATGTAACACTTGGGAGTTGTTACTTTTTTGTTAAATCTTCGGTTTGGTCATTCAAATTGAAGTTTTAACTCAACATGAACATGTTGATTACTTGTTTGTGTTAATATTAGATTTTTGACCCAAAGATGGGAGAATTCGAAATACGGCTTGAATGGTGTAAGGAGGTTTAAGAAAATCTTCAATAATGACATAGAGATTTGGGTTATTGCATAACTTTTACTAAACTTCAGGATGTTAGTCGAGTTGGTGTGTCATAGAGATATGCGCATCCCCTCCATACTGACGAAACTAAGATTTTTTAGATCTACTTAGTAAGATCAGCAAACTGAAAGTCCACTTTGTAGGGAGATCATGGCGATGTTCCAACACGACGTAGTATTGAGAGAAAAAAAACGTGTATGTTCTTTTGTGACAGGTTTTATTAACCTTTTTATTACTATCATACTATTGGAAAAAGCTTGCACCCATACCCACTTTTTATTACTTATTATTTTAAACCACCAAATCACTCTAAAAAACGATTAATTTTACAAAATCCAACTTTGCACCGAAAGTTCTTAGAAAACTCAAATTCTTAGTAAGACCTATGGATACGATCTTGGTATTATACCATTATATTAGTTGAAGGCGAATACGATAATTGGTGTAAACTTGCATCACTATTGTGCCACATTTACGCGTGTATTTTTGCTATCAATAGACGTTTCGACGAATATGAATGGTATTTTATATGCATATTTTTAATGAATAAAAACATACTTTGATTTCCGTATAGAAGGGTTATTACTTATTAGTTTTTTTAAAGTTCATGTTAATTAAAATCTGTAATTTCAACTTATGTAAAGGATAAGATATAGTTTTGGAGGCTTTGGACTTGTTGATGCGTACATGTCTGTGGATAGTCAAGATGCGTAACAAGAGATCGTATTCAGAAGCGAATCCTGGATTTTTGCTTAACTGGTCCATAAAAGAAATATCAAGAGTCAAACTTACGACTTTTTAAGACCGCTAAAAAATTCCATTGCGATGAGACGATTGAGTTGTAAGAAAAAAAAAACTTGGGCCAGGCCTTCAAATCTGGATCTACGGTACTAACTAGTCCATTCTGGGTTTTTATTTAGAAAAAAACTTTGTTAAAAAACAGATACATACATAAAAGAGTAAAGCAGACAATTGTTTTTACAAATACCTCAATTTTTTATTTAATTGTAAACTAATTTATTGTAAAATATAAAAATAGTTAAATTATGATATTATAAATTAATTATTTCTTTTGACATCTTCATTTTCATTTTTTATTTTTTTCCTTCAATATTATTCGTGTATATATATATATTAATCTTTGATGTATTGAATATTATAATTTTTTCTTTCATTAGTTTCTAAATTGATGACCATAAATTATTTTTTGATTTTTTTAAAATTTTTAGACATAATAAATAGTTAGGTTTAGACCATTCAAAGGAAGAACTGGCGTATCTTCTTAATATGATTGAGCAGATGGGATCGGGTTCAAATCCCGCTCGAGTGAAAAAAACAGAGAGAGCAGCGAAGGGGCCTTTTTGGAATAAACCAGAAGGAAAGGATTGACAAAAGGAGTAGCTATTGAGCTGCAACTTTCCCGAACCCCTCTCACTTTAGACAGAGAGGGAATGACGATGGGTAGCCAACCCCCTTGATCACATCGTAGATAGCAGTCAGAGTTAGTACGCTTTAGTTGTTGATTCTTAATGGGATGACAATAATAGAAAGTAAATTGTAGAAGTGGAGTTGAAAACAATTATACAGACTTTTTTCAACTTTTTAATTCTTATTGACGTACATCAACAATTAACACACAGAGATACAAGAACAACACAAAGGGTTTTTGTAAGGAAATAAAGAACACACTAAGTTTTTTCTTCACACACAGGAGACTGGGAGAATAGAAGAAGAGAGTCGATTGCCTTGAAAAGCACTTGGTAAATCTTTCAAGTAAGTGTATTTGCATGGTAAATGCATACTGCCTTTTATACTACATTCAACATTAAATACATTGGGACATTTGTCACTTGAGGATAAGAAGGTAGAGGTTGACTTGACCATTATTGATATCTCATTTTCATCGTACACCGCGTACATACAATATTGTTAATGTAGAGACAAACTTTTGCATAGATATGGTCAGTCTGTTAGGAGATCTTCTTTGAATGGATTAGTAGCTTCAAACAACTACTTACAAATCTTCGGTGCATGAAGATCTTCCTTCAATCGGCTTGTAACTTCAAAATATTTTCAATCTTCAAATCAGCTACTCTGGAGTCTTGGTGTGTAATTTAGACAGTTGATCCACAGTACCGCATTGGTGACTTTATGTCTTCACATCGGCTAGTCTTCGATTTTGCCAATGACTTTAAGTATGTAAAAAGACACAAATATACAAAGAAACCAATAACTACTAAGTTTTGATAGGATAGAGGAACATATCAGTGGGTCATCACCAAATCAATAGGTGACCCAACAAACGTCTTTACTGATTTATTTTCAGGTTTTGACCTGGATTTTTCGGGCCTTGATCGGTTTCTTTGGACTTTGACAGGGCTTTAACCAGACTGATTTTCGGCTAACCAATGACCAGTTTTTCGTCTTTAAATCGGTTATGGTGCGTTTGATACAATAGACAGAAAAGAATAAGACAGGGATTCTTGTGCAGCTCTAGCTATAGCCTTTGGATCACCACTTCACCCCCTTAGTAGGTTCAACCTGATCGTATTGACATGTTCTTTCCTTGTATTTTACATATTTGACGATAATCAAATATTGTATTTTATTTTAAAACAAGCAATAATAATGCAAGGATTGAAAGAGACTTTGATGGAGTGAGTGAGATGTTGGTGTGTAATTACTCTCTTTTTACTACAATGTTTATTTTGAATTTTAAAAGAAGATGTCAGTTGTAATAAATATAATCCACAGCTTCACACTACATTTATTGCATCAAAATAAATGATGGGCCTCTTATTACATCGGCCCAAAGCCCTAATTTTTTTTTGTTATCATGTAATTCAATGAATTTATTTATTTTGGGACTTATTATTCGTTGGCCTTTTGCTTATCTTTAACATCGAATCTATTCTCATTTTGTGGCCTTTCAAAAAAAAAAAAACATCGAATCCGTTTTCCATTTTCTTGTACCCTTTCGTTCTAGTGTACCGCTAATTACCTCTCGTGTGCTTGTCTTTCGTGACATTGTTTCGTTAATAAGCATTTAACATATATAAAGTATGTATTATTAAGCTATATTTATAGTATATACGAAATAATCCGATACATACCTTACATCATCATTAAGTCTATAATTCACGTACAAATCTTATTCTCGATCTATACGATATTGTAAAGAATGTACCTTATTGTATTTTATTGGTTTTTTCGGAGTTTTTTAAATGATAATGGGCCTTTTTGGTTGTATTGGGCTAAAGGCCCATTTTAGGTGTGCAAAGAAATAAAGAAGGTTGAAATATAAAGGGTAAAATGTGTAAAATAGTAACTTACTATTATAAAATTTTTTTATTATAGTAATGTATTTTCAAAATATTTTTATTAGAATATTGTACTTTCAAAAATTTATTTATTATAGTATTGATTAATCTTTTCAATTAAATTTATTCAATATACCAGATTTATTTGTCACCTCATCGTCCACATGTACGATAGTGCTAACATGACATTTTTTTATTATGCATTGTACTTTTCAAAATTACTTTATTATAACATCACAAATTTCTATTATAACATTGTAGTTTTAATTTTAATATTTTTATTATTTAAACATTGTAAATTTAATCAAATATATTTACTAAAAATTATAATATCATAAATTAACATTTATACAAAAGATCACTATTTTAAGAATAAAAATAATCATAAAAAATCATTCGTTCATCGAGTTCGTCATAAATTTCAAGGCTTACTTTGTAATGTCAAAAACTAAAAAAAAAAAAAAACTTATTCTATTCACATTCGTCTAACAATGATATATAATCAAGTGGAATCGTCTTGTCACAACTACTATCTTCTCCATCTTGATTTCGTTTTTTTTTTCTTTGGATGTGGTTTTTAAATTTAAATGTAAATATAAAAAATGATGAATGATATATATTAGTTTGAAAATTCATATCTAAAATCAATTATAAATGTTATAAAATCTATGATTTATTAAATATATTATTTTATTAATAATATTTTGTCTTTAAAAAAACATTAAATGTTAAGTAAACATATTTTATTTTTCATTTCATCATCAGTATCGTAAAAAATCTTAAACATCAAGGAATCTGTATAAATATAACATTGCGTATTTAAGTGAACTTGAAAACATGGATACAAGTTTATTAATCGATTTGGAAAAGAATGAATTTGAGGAAAGAAATTAATTCTAAATTGTGTTAACAAGTAGAACTAAAACACTTACCATTTTTGGCTTAAAAATGACATCATACTGTAATTGCATACTTATCCCTCCACGGCGGAGCATCCACTCTCTCTCACACATTTGCACACTTACTGTGTGTGCACCACCACACCCACGCCCACAACCACCATCATCATATCTCTCCTTCATCACACACACACACTTCACGCTCACTGTGTGTTTTCATGGTACCAACGAAGCAAAACAATATCATGGCCCCATCGCTATAACTATGACCTCTGACCTGTCAGTGTGTGTTTCTCTCTCACACACAACCACCGTAACACACACCCAGTCTCTTGTATAAACCGCCGGTTACATTATAATATTTTCAAGATTTCTTTATGGGAATCACAAAACAATGGTTTAGATTTACATGCCCGATTAACCTAAAAAACAAACCCCAAAAAACCCCTTAAAACTACTCATATGGCAGCTACTGCCTCTTCAGACCATCATAAAATTCATCTCCACAAAAATCCCACCACCACTATTAAGTTCAGACGCCGCCGGCTCAAAGAAACCACCATTTCCTCCACCGCCATCACCACCACAAACCACCATCAACACCCATCTGTTGTTTCCCCGGAAAATAGTTCTTGGTGCTGTCCCTCCGTTGTATCCTCTTCCAAACCCCCACCACAACCCCCTTCGCCGCAAACAACCACCAGTAAGCCTCAACCCAGTTCAGATTCTCCGGCGTTGCCTCCGTCGAGGGAATCTTTATCCGACGACTCGTCGTTAAGTATTGAGAAGTTCCTTATTTTATCTTCCAATTCACCGGTAAATCTTGACAAGACAAACATGACCACTACCACCGCCGTGTACGGTGGCGGGTCTAACCACCAAGAAACGTTCCCATCTTCTTTTACCAATTTCAACTCTGCTCTCACTGCCGGACTCTTGAATCCGATGTCTCCGCCGCCACCCACCAATGATAAAACCCGATCCAGTCCAACCCTTTTCGAGATGATGGCTAATGAACCTGATTCTAAGATCCCCAACCATCCAAACGGCAATGTCTCATATCCAACCCCAAAAAAACCCAACAATCATGTGATCCCACCGATTATTATCGACAAACAAGCTTTGATGCAACAGCGGTTGTTGGATCTTTTGTCCTGTCGTAGCCCCGGGAGCCAATTCAATGACCCAAATTCGAGTGATGTGAAGCTGACTTTGACCTCAAAAGATGGTTTGAGTGTTTCCATGAATGCTCATAGGCAGATCTTGTTGTGTCATAGTCGATTTTTTGCCGTTAAATTGTCAGAGTATCGATGGAAAGGGGGTCAACAAGGGCAACAACAACCCTACATTATTGAGATTGCTGACTGTGATGACATTGAGGTTTATATAGAGTCAATTAGGTTGATGTATTGTAAAAATTTGAGGAGGAAGCTCATGAAGGAAGATGTTCCTAGGGTTCTTGGGATCTTGAAGGTAACCTAATTACTCTTTTTATGCATAGTAAGTATGTGTTTGGATATCTTTTCCCTTCATGAATAGCTTAAATATGTTCTACTTCTGATTCTTATAATATACTGATTTGGTATGTTCAATGTACATATGTATATGTCTGAAATTCAAGAATTCATTCTCATATCTATGATTCTTTAAGACAAGAATCATGTAATGATACTTGGAGGTGGTGGTGGTGATATAAACATACATTTATATACACACACATATATATAGGGGGAGAGAGAGAGAGAGAGAGAGAGAGACGGAGTTTCAAATACCAAACCCTCTAATGAGTAGAAACTATACAAACTAATCAAATGAATAACGCTGCATTTTGGGAACAACCCAAAATAGATAATTTTGTATTATTAGGATGGAAGGAGTACCGTTTCTATCTGAAATGAATTGGTGAAGAGTTGTGTGTTCTGGTTGTTTCTGAAGTCGGAATGATTTTCCCGGGCTCTATAGCGGGATATACTGGGATGGTCTGGTTTATTTTCACACATTTCACTTGTTAGGAATTACTGAATTCAATGAAAATCTGCAATGTTGACTTACGCACATAGTTGAGCAAAATGTTTGACAATCTGCGAATATCTCAAATACCTTCCAACAAAGACACAAAATAATCTTCTTGGCTCACATAAGTACCATAAGTTTCTCTTTAATGATGATATGGAGCAATAGGTCATTCTAACTTGAAATGTTGCAATTTTCAATGCACAGAAGGAGTGCATAAGGGCAATTGCTCTTTATAAGCGTATAATATTTATATACAGCAAAACTTATTGGCACCCCTATCTTTTGTGAGGCTTGAAACCTTGCCTTGACCTCCATGTAGGCCAATAAACTCTTTGGTAATGCATGATAGTAGGGATGCATTTTCAACACATACATGGGAATTATGAGTGAAATGAATGTTTGTTGTGTTTCTTTTAGGACATCTAATATGCCTTCTAATCCTATTTTAACATAGGTATCAGCAGCGATTGGATTTGACGCTGGTGTTTTATCTTGTTTGGAGTACCTAGAAGCTGCTCCATGGGCTGAAGATGAAGAAGAAAAGGTATCTTCTTTGTTATCCGAGCTTCGGCTTGAAGGAGTTGGTGCCACTGAAGTTTTAAAGAGGGTTTCAGTTGATTTTAGTTCTGGGGTTGATGAGGGTAACAATAATGAAGAAGTGCTTTTGAAGCTTTTACATACTGTTCTTGACGGAAAGGACGAAAAGGCGAGGCGAGAGATGAAAGTTTTGGTAGCGAAAATGCTTCGTGAGAATTCGTCACAGCACGATTTGAGAAAGGAATCTTTATATTCCGCTTGCGAAAAATGTTTGCTTTTGTTAAGAGAACATTTCTTGAAAGCTTCTAACGGAGAGTTACAAGATGTTGCCCAAATCACACGGCAAGCGGATAATTTACATTGGCTTCTTGATATTTTGATCGATAGACAGATTGCCGAGGACTTCTTGAAGTCGTGGGCATCATTGGCCGAGTTATCAGAAGTTCATTCTAAAGTGCCGCCACTTCATAGATACGAAATCAGCAGAGTTACAGCAAGAATGTTTGTGGGTATTGGAAAAGGTCAACTTTTGGCTTCAAAAGATTTGAGGTGTTTGCTGTTACAGACATGGTTGGTGCCGTTTTATGATGATTTTGCATGGATGAAGAGAGCATCGAGGGGGTTAGATCGTCATTTGATTGAAGATGGGCTGGGCAATACTATTCTGACATTGCCTTTATCTTGGCAACAAGAAATCTTGATGTCTTGGTTTGACCGGTTTTTGAATTCTAGCGATGATTGTCCAAACATACAGCGGGCATTTGAGGTTTGGTGGAGACGGGCTTTTTGGAGAAAGAATTGCCAGCAACCTGAAAGGTCGCTACAGTTTCGTGTTACAGATGAAAATTTCAAGAATTCTTGAAACTGAGGTACTAATGGTTTCCCAGAAGTTTTTATTTAGACCCAGGAAACCTCACTCAAGTTGGGTAAGATTGGGGTGGAGCAGAGGTCAGAAACTTGGAAACTTCTGCCACGTGTGTGACCTGCCCGACACCCTTAATTGGGATGGGCGGGATCAGTGGCAGGTGAAACTTGGGTGGGGGCCTAAAACTTGCCATCTGTGACTCGCCCAATACCCTTAATTCGGAATGGGCAAGGATCGGTGGCAAGTCAAACTTATGCCTCCACCCACCACTGTCTTGAAAGTGTGGTGGGTGGAACTTCTGCCACCTGTGACCCGCCGAACTCCCTTAATATGAAACTTGTGTCTCCACCCACCGCCTGTTTAAAACTGTGGTGGGGGGTGTCTGAAACTTCTGCCACCTGTGACCTTCCCAGCACCCCGAATATGGGACGGGCAAGGTTGGTGGTAGGTGAAACTTGTGCCTCCACACACCACCTTTCTAGAACTGTGGTGGGGGGTCTGAAATCTTCCCCCTCTTACCTGCCTAACTCCCCTAATATGGGATGGGTAGGGGATGGTGGCAGCTGAAACTTGTGCCTCCACCCATAACCCGTCTAAAATGGTGGTGGATGGGGTCCTGAAACTTCTGCTGCCTCCCCTACAGCCCTGTGATTAACCGGGCAACCAACAAGTATGAGATCTGAATTTGGGGGGTTTGGTTTTTATTAGAGCGCTCGTGTTTTCTTTGTTTATGCAGATAGAGTACAACCATTGCTTCTCTGAACGAGAAGTTCTGTTGCATCGGTTAAACCCGTTCTAGTTGATTGCTGAAGTGTGAAGAGTGGGAAACAGAGGGGAAAAGCCAACAGACAATGGTATCAGTTGCATGCCAGTTTTGCTGTATGTTCTTCCTTGAACCGGTGAACATGTACTTACTCGGTGATTAACCTTTTTATGCCAAATAGTTTGATGTAAAGATTTGATTATTGATGCTGCTTCGTAAAAAGATTGAGCTTTTTAGTGCTGAACACGGTTTAGTACAATCTGTTTCGTGTGGGGTTGAACCAATTTCTTTTTGTTTAATGAAAACGAGAACCACCTGACTGACCCGATTGGCGGTTTGGCTGTATGAGTTTCTGGTTTCGGATATTTTCTGTCCAGCGGTATGCAGCATCAAATTAAGGTTAAAGTTACAAAACAAAAGAAAAGCCTGTAGCTTTCTTGTTTCTTGGTAGAATTTGGTGATGATCTGTTGTGGTTCTTGGATATCTGTAAATGGGTACCAAAAGGGGTGCATTTTTTGGGTTCAAGATTGTGAATTCTTGATGGGTTTCTTTTATTTATTTATAGAAAGAAGAACATGGTGGTTGCTTATTGGTGGTGGTGGGTTATTTTCAAGTTTCTTAAATTGATGCCTTGAGCTGTGTCATGTGATCCCCACTCAACCCTTAATGGTGTGTTATCTTTATTTCTATTTTGAATGAAATCCTTTCATAATCAACATCTCATTAAGAGCATTTAATTTAATGGTTGTGATGTTGAGGTGATCAATCAGCTTGTAGGTGATGACTCCTATCTAATCACTTTCCACTTTTTATATGCATTCCATATACTATAGCATATATATTATATACATACATTTACATTTTTGGAAATATCACTTTGTTTTGTTTCTTGTAGATAGCAAAAGGGCATCTTCTTATGTGGATTTTCACATCTATATATGTATCAGGTTTGTTTTTCATTAAGATCTGTATGGATAAAACTGTCTACATTGACAAGGAGAAGGGTAAAAAATGAATAAATGGATCAATAAATGACTTGGGTGTATATGACTCCAGTTTTTTAGCTTACTGATTAAGTCATGGACTGACCGAATAAGCCACAACTAAACAAATATTTATGGCCGAATGAATAAGTCATATAGACTATACAACTTATTCAGCCGAACCACCTTTTATATCTTTATAGTGAGGTTCAATAGAGAAAAAATAAGATAACTTCTATAAACCGTTGGATCTAAAAAATGGCTCATATTCGAGTGCAATCACCCCTTAATCGATGGATTTAATTTTGTAATTGACTCATTCACAATTGTTGTATTAAAATTAATGAAGAGTTCAGATGCGTTTCATTATTTTCCTTTTTTAAGTGTTGTTTATTGAACTTACCTTTATATATATATATATATATTATTTAGATTAATATGGTGAACAAATTGAGCGTGTTCTGCGAACATTTCACATATGAACCTGCAATATGTTCACTGTGATTAACCATTGTTCATGTTAAAAAAACATAATTATTCTATAATCTTGAAATATGATGATATGACTATGATCCCTAAAATTATGTAAGTAATAATTTGTAACATCTCATTAAATACCATAAAAATTCATAATATCTCTTTATATACCATAAAAATAGTTTACACCTAAAAATTAAATATTTGTGCATCATCATTAAATTAAACATTTGAAGTAACCTCTACTAAAAAATGAATTTTATTGATCCAATAAGTTCATAAAGTTAACACCATATTTTTAGTTTACAAAAGATCATACATCTATCTCTTTATCTCTCTCTATATGTATGTGTGTGTGTGTGTGTGTGTGTATGGGATGGTTTATTTTACAATCAATACAACCTAATCTTAACCATCCAAGTTTTCATCTACGATCAACAATTAATCAGTTGGAAAAATAAATTAAAATTATGTTTTGGATTTATATTCTAAATTTAAAGTCAAGGGTAATTTAGGAAAAAGATAATTATTTGAATCTTGATTACTCTTAAACTAGATTCTTTGGCTTGTCTCTTAAAAAAACTAAATTCATGAAGTAGATACATTGTCCCTTAGAGCAACTGGATTCATTAGTGTGTCTTTGAACATGGTGTTTCTGTTTCATTAATATGTCTAGAAATTTTGTTTCATTAATATGCTTTAGGAAAATATTTTTTCATTAATATGTCTATGAAATATGTTTCATTTAACACTATAGGTTAACCATTGGTGAATTCTCATACACAAACCATGCAACCCAAGCAGGTTTAGTAAAATTGTTACATTGGATCTTTGTTTTTTACGGTAGAGCATTTGGTACGCAAGCATAATTGGACAAGACTCGACAAGACATAAAGGTTGGACGGGACATGACTCGACAGAACAAGTGTCTGTCTGATGTTTGGTACGACTATGACTGAACGGAACAAAACTAGACAAGTTGCCCCCAAAAGTTATTTGGAATATTATTAACACAAATAAAGAACCATGAGTTGTTGAATGTTATGTGGATATAGAATCATGTATGTTGCATCAATACCATCCATTCAATCATAGTTTGCAAGTCAAATTAGAAAATAAAACAAATGTGTGGCCATGATTTTGCAATATACCCCCCTTGTGTGTGTTAGTTTGGACAATGGGGTTTTGTATTCTAATTGACTTGAAAGTGACATATTTGCATCATTTTGGAGCCAAGAAAGGTGAAGATAAACTTATCATCTCAAATACAATTCTCAAAGTGTGGTCACAATGCCTTGTTGCATAGACCAACATGACAAATTATCATATGGTACTAAAATATTATTTCCATTTCCAAAAGGAAAAAAAAAACACACACACAAAAACATACAACTATGAGAGATAACAAACTAAAAAACTTGAACTTCCATATTTGATTCAGGGGTGTTCATGGATCGGGTTGAAGACATTTTAACAATTCAAGTCAATGTTTGTGGTATGAAAAATCTCAACCCAACCTAAACCGTATGGGTTTGTTGGGTTAGTCGGTTGATAATTTGGTACATCAAAATATTCTTGTAGTATAGCTTAATACATACTCCTTATAAGCTTATCCATATTCCTTATAAGTATGTGATGGCATAATTGTGTAGTGTATATATTAATAAAGACTTAATAATCGTATTAATTCCAAGAATAAAAGGATATCGAGTTCAAGGGATTGGGTTGGGTTGGGTTCAAATGGCCGTAACCCGATTCCAACCCAGTAACTACGATTTGAAAATTTTGCAACTCAATTAAACATTGAGTTGTTTCGGGTTATGTTGGTCGAGTTTTTTTTTTATCACCCCTAGCAAAAACCCCCCATTTTGTTATTCTTAATGTGTACACCTCGAACCAATGAAATAAATGAAAAAGAGAGAAGAAAAAAAACTTTTGTTATATCGTTAAATATTTTAATATTAAAATTAATGTTAAAATCTTCGAAATGAAGAAAATTTTAAAGTTTATTGTTTTCCTTTTGAATATTTTTATTTTTTTTAATTTAAAAAAAATGTGAATAAACTGTTAGAAATATTTTTACCGACTTTTTGATTGACAAAAAGTTGATTACCAGCATCCTCAATTGACCCCACATAAAACCTGTCTGGCTCACTCAAAGGCTGACCATAGGGGTGCTCAAAAACCCTACCAACCCTATCAACCCAACCCAACATGAAATAATCCAACTGAAGCAACTCGATATTTAATCGAGTTTTAAAATCTTTGAACCATAAGTATTGAGTTGAAATTGGGTTATGGTCATTTGAACCCAACCCAACCCAACCCGATGAACTCAGTTTCATTTTATTATTGGATTTAATATGATTGTTAAGTCACTATTAGTATGCAAATTAGACAATTATACTATCACGTATTCTTTTTATATACATATATTTTCATTTTATTCTTCATCTCTATATAACTTTTTCGTATATATGTTCAATAGATATAAACATATATGTGTAAATTGAGAAAAGTAATCCAATTTGATATACTTAAGGAGTATGGAGACGTTGTACCAAATGATTGATGACGAAAAAATAATTATAACAGAAAACAACATATTCAAGGTAACAAACATAAGAGGACATTTTGATGTATCAAAGTATCAACTCTACCAACTCATACAGTTTGGATTGAGTTATATTGAGATTTTTCAAATCGTAAATTGGTTTAGGTTGTTCAAAAGTCTCAACCCAATCAACCCAACCCATGAGCACCCTGCCTTTTACCAACTGAAATACACATCAAAGACAATTTTTTAACTATTAACCTAAAAAAACAACTTGCAAGAAAAGAAAGTTCTTTTATTGATTAAAGAAACAACGTTAATCCTCGTACTAAATGAAAAAGTAAATTCGGACAAAAAAAATTTTGAAGTATTATTTTGTGACGGAAAAAAATGCATTCTAAACAAAAATGGACAATGATTTCAAAATGGAAAAAAAAAGTGCGTTTTTTGAAATACATCATGAGAATATAGTTTTTAAATTCATCAGAACATCTTCAATAATTATGTTATTTTTTAAATTTAACGATTTGAGAAAAATTTATCCGGTACCTATGTTAAACTATTTTCTAAGATAGAAAATAATAATAATAATAATAGAGAAATTTTAAATTTACAGAAAGATTTTATAATATAGCTGTTGGAAGATGTTCTTGTAAATTAATAGTATATTTTTTTGAAAGACATTAATATTTAAGAAAAATAAAAGGGAAAATCACCAAAATAACCAATTTATAACTAATGTATTAACAAAATAGTCATTTTTACAATTTTTACATAAATTGACCACAATGGATCGCCCCGGGGGGTGCATTTTGACCATACAGGAGCGATTTGTTCTTGTTTAACCCAAAAAGTACACAAAAATCTTCTAAATTGATTTAGAGGCCCACATGTATCTGATTTGAGAAACAAAAAATCTAATTTTTCTTTAGAAGGGAGGATCACCCCCACCTATCCAGGATTGGGGGGTGATCTGACCCCTATTTTGTCTTCTAGTGCATAAAATATAACTATATATAGCTTGTGACTTCTCATTCATTTTCCTTCACACCTCGCTCCTCACTTCTACTCTCATATCTTCAAAATTGACAAAGTAAAAAAGGAAGGTTTTCCTCACTTCTACTCTCAGAACCTTTAACCCTTAAACACAATCTATCATCACAACTCTTAACTCATTAAACACAATCTACCATCACAATTTTTCACCCTTAAACACAAATATGAAATTACGTCAAAATGGTAATGTTTCCGTGTATGTTCAAAGTGGCGGTTCATTCCATACGATAAATGGTGCCTTAGAGTATATGTCGTTAGGATCCCCATATGT